TCGCTTTCTACGATAGACAGACATACTTGCTTTCGTTTTGGAAGAATTAGGATCAAATCTTTAATATCAATAAACTAAGAAATCGCGATTCACAGTGACCTTTCGACCACCCACCAAGAGTGATTCTCTTGTGGCATGTCTAAAATAAAACCCTTGACCACTCTTGCGTGTGCGCAGGCCGCAGTTCGAGGGACGTGTGCTGCATCATTCTTAATTCGAACCAGCAGGTTATTGGCCTCGAATTTGTTGGCTGAACACACGCTGAATTTACATTATCAGCGATAGGGGAGCGACATTTGATTTCTATCACATGCTACGATATCATTAAATGTACACAACATTGAGAAATTTGCATTCTGCAATTATCTTCAATTTTTATTAAATAAATAATGCCTATTGCGTGCAAAATATAGGTTGGATAAAGTTATGTGAATTTTTGGCTGGAAACCTTTTCAATTCCCTTGCAATCAAGCTAATGTAGGTGAATTTTTGGCTGGATACCTTTTCGATTCCTTTGCAGTCAAGCTAGACTGAATATAAGACGCTATTAATTTCTCTTAATATTCTCTTCTGAAAATTCTGTGCAACGTATAAGTGTAGTTTAGCTTTGAAAAATATATTAACTTATAATTTATTTCTGTAGAATCGGTACTTACTGTCTAGGAATATGATGTCTGTAAACTTACTTCTTTTGTGGCTGTCTAGGGGCTAATAAACTGGTCCAATTTACAAATAACTTGAATATTTAATGGAAACATGAATAGTTGCTACAAACTACAAAATGATTACATGTGTAGAAGGATGAATTTACATAGATCATATTTACAGATGAAGAGAATCGACCGTCTTTTACATGTAAACATCTTTCAGTCGCTCATCTTCTTAATGGCGGAATCGTCTAAATTCTATCATCCGGAAAAGTAAAAGATTTATTCTCACAGCTTGTCGCGTCATCCGATTATAATGAACGATGCCATCCCACATTTCTTAACTTAAAAAGTTATCCTTTAGCTCAAAGCGCAACATTTAAATCATTGCTTGTAAAATACCTCCATGTCAAGCTAATTCAGCTGCTGAGTAAGACAGATGAACACTAACTGTGAAACCTATGTTCAAATCCCGGAGAACGGGGCTGGTTGTAAGGTTGTGCTTAGAGTTTTACTTATGTGTGATAGAAGCGTAAATATGATTCTGTTTTCCTTAGAGACATAAAAAGACCTTTATTAAAACATCTCTCTCTTGAAGCAGATGCCATTCGCGTTCTTCAGTTAAACAAACGAATAAATTAATGCTATTTTTTTCTATATAACTTCAGTTTCCTTCCTTGTAAAACCTCCATTATAACTGTCGGATTGTCTATTCTGTGAGGTCATATTATATTCGTGTATATATGCTTATAACCCATATCTTTATTATTAATTTGATTAAAGTTTATGTTATACTTCACGTGATTCACTGAGAATTATGCAGAGCAGCTAACTGAAATTTCCGTTTCATGTACAAGTAATTGAATATTTACAATTTTCTAGATCAGTTTTTGATTTTTCTGTACCATCTTTACCAATAACATAAAGTTGTTGTTTGGGGTATTTTTCTGCAAATGTGGAAGTGCTTTTATTTTTTGTTTGTAGCTTTTACTTTCTTATTGAAGGTTAAAATTTATGGCACACAGTTATCAGGCTGTTTACTTTTACCTTGACATTTTTATCGTTAAATTTTTCTGTAGCTTTCTTGTTTTCGTTAACACTTTAGTTTATGTATTCCAGACCTAAGTCCAACTTGTTTACCACTAACAAGAGATTCTGTGAGGTTGTTGCCATCATTCAAAAAATTATTTCTTGTCTGTAATTAAATGTCAATAACATAGACGTAAACCTACTTTTGTATTCCCCAGTTTTTTTCTCCTTTTTTTCGATTTGGAAACAATGCTCCATCTATGTATAACAGATTCACGACACTTTATTTCGTTATCTAACGACTCAAGTCAGATTTTTCAAGTTTAGAGAGTTGAGTGAACTGGTTGGAGAATTTTTTCGCAATTTTTTATTATCTTATAACCTCTGAGCCTAATGCGCTCGAACGCTAAGTAGGCCAAGATCGGGCTCAATTAATATCTGTGCTAGTTGAGGGAACGACTATACATTAAACGGGAGACTTTTTTAAGGGCAGAATCGACACGCTAAATGAATACACAAAGTAATTTTGCTTCTTTTATTTTTTTTTTAATTCAGTGGAGTTTTTAACACGAATTTATTTTTCGTCATATTTACTGATTGGTCATCAAGAATGCGAGAAGTATCTTCAAGATATTCTTAATTTTTGAAGCTTTTATAAAAATTAAGACTATTTCATAACTCGTTTACTATTTAAAAGGGAAAACTTCTGTGGGTGAATCTGAATTTCTGAAGCAGTAATGAGAAGCGTTTTTCTTTTATTTTGAAAGAGATATTCCAAAAACCTAAGAGAGTACCTGTAAAATAGAAAGTGAGTATCAATATATAGCGCGTTGACTTTTCCCCCTTTCCCAAAGTGCTGTTTTGTAAACAATACTCGTTATATATGCTCGAAATTGCATTTAAAATGCATTAAGATATTTTAAGGCTTTTACATTAAAGGAAAATGTATATTCTTAGCTTAATTTTTCTGTAGTTTGATAGTACTGTCGATGGTTTCGATGGCTTAATCGGATCATTTTTTTTTTCCTGTAGAATTCCTGCAACATCCTTGATTTATATATGTGAGGCCATTTTAGGTTCAAGAACTTATCTTGTAAAATAGCTTCAGAAATTCAGATGTTTTATATATGTGAGACTGTCGTACATTATGGCCGATGTAGAATATTTTGAATAGCATTCTTTTTACGTTAACTTTCTGATCTTTTGTATATTGAGAACAAAACCTTAATCTAAAAGGAATGAATTTTATACTACGTTTTTAAATTATTATTATATATTACTGTATAATAATAGTAAGAAGAAGAAAAACTACATTCTTATTTCTTTTTCTAAAATAAATGCAATTCGAGTGAAAGAAAATTGACGTAAACCTTGCTTTATATTTTACGATGCGTTTACAGTGAAATATTATGCATAAATATATTTTTTAATCATTTTAACTGTTGTAATTCTCTTAATGAAATTTAATTAAGTATTTATATATGTAATACCATTATGTGCTTTAACATTTATGTTATTTATGGAATAATATTTAATTTGAAAGGTTAAGTATTTGAATTATAGAATTTATCGAATAAATTTTGTTTAAAATATATAAAATTTTACAAGATATCATAATTTTATACATGAGAAGTCTATAATGAAAATTTTCTTACGCACTTAAAATTGATATCTGAAACCCTAACACACTTAAATTCATTTCACTAATTACATGTAATATTTTATGGGTTATTATTAAATGAAATTTTTAGCTTCCTAATCGCCAATAATGCACTGCCATCTCAAAGCAAAATACAGTCATTAGGTTTTTTTGAAGAAGGAGACGTAAAAAATGGGCGGTGCCCTCGCCGGGTCCCGAACCCTGGACCTTTCGAATACGTGTTGAGTATGCTTCCAGTTACACCACGAAGACGTGCGGAAAGAATGGAGGAAATACCTTATAATTTATATACATAAAACTGTGTATATTAATCTCTAGTTTACTACCATGTGTAAGAAATATATATAAATATGAAATTTAAAATTTAATGTCCGAAAGTAAATGTTTTCGTGGATTATAGTGATTTATAATATTGCATTGCCAAATGAGTATACAAATTCTGTCTCAAAATATGAGCTATCTCTTACATGTTAAAGTATCAAATTAAGGATTCATTGTATTTGCTATATTATGTTTTTAAATTAACTGTAAAAATTTAGCATTAAATTTAACGTAAAACTGAATTTTAATCATGAGTTATGTATAATTATCATATTTATACGTATAATTTTATGAATATAAACTTTTATAAAATTATGTATTTATAATTCTACATATTTATAAATTCTACATAATCTACGTATTTATAGAATTATAAGATTATTAAAGTAGTTGTAGACTAGATCATTAATAACATGTATATCCTAGATCATTAATAACATGAAGTTACACACTCGATGTTTAGTACTAATTTAATCAGTACTGGAAAAATGATTTTGAGAAATTTGAGGAAAATTTCAGCATTTATCCGTCTTCTAGCTAATGCAATGCTTTTCAAAATTCTCTCTAACTCATGTTTTTAAACGTTTAAAATACAAGATTATGAGGTATTCTCATGATTGAATGGATGTATTTTTAATTTTCTTCTAAAACGTGAATTAAGTAAAGTCTATTTAAAAAAAAAAAAAAAAAAAAAAAAAAAACGTCATCTGAGATATATAAGAACTGATTTTTGTTGCCGTTTAATGTGCGAAGCGACTTAAAAATGGAGTTTTATAAATATCAGGCTAAAAGCGAACTCCTAATCTCAAAAACGAAACGTAGTGAGGGTCAAAAGCTATTGCTTGTGTCTGCCATTGGCTCCACGTCGCTTATCGCCAAAAATTATTTTTCGCCAAACAGCTTCGCCAAGAAGCTTTCTCACTTTCCTCACCGCATCACTATCATCTGGCGCTAGAGTAGAAGTAGCAGTTGTTGGTAGCGCTCCGATCAAAACGAGTTATTACAGAGGCGACTCTAGAGGCGGGATAGAAAATTTTTGCCTTGATCCGTACGCCCCGCGACCTTGTGTACAAGACAGCCTTCAAGGCGATTCCAACTAGTTAGACTTTTTTATTCTTGCATTCCCTGTCCTTCCCAGTTGGCGTGTAGATCTGGAAAAGAAATCTTGTTGAATATTATTAGCGGCTGCCCATCGAAACATGAGTTCGCTGTTTTGCAATTTTCAAGAAACTTTAGAAGAGTGTCTCAATATGATGTTTTGTGATTGTTAAAGAGAAAATTCGTGTGTTTTTCTCTTACTGTGTTCTGACGACAATTTTTTTTATATTTTTTCCTTTGTACAGGACATACTATCATTCACACGGAACTGCACCAGTCCAACAAAGGACTATGCTGAGCCCCGATATAGCAACAGACTTACAGGTAAGCATATTTAACTTTAATCGTAATCGTTCATTCTGTCTACTTTGTCTGTTTATAAATTATGTTTTCTTATAATATAAGAGTATGTCATTTAAAATATTAAATTTTCCCTCCTTCTGATTAATTTTTATTCTTTATTTTTATAATAATAATTTAGATAAAATTAAATCATTATGTGGTTAGTTAGATATTCTCTTGCAGCTATCCTTTGAGTAAATCACTTATAAATCTGTGTGTTAGTAAAGCACATCTTGGATAGCGCTTTGAGTAAATCATTTATAAATCAGTGTATTAGTAAAGCACATCTTGAATAACAGGAAGAGAACTATTTAATTGGGTAAACAGATCCTAGGAAAATTATCAATTATTTAAAAAAGAATGTTATTATTTTGTGGGACTATAGTTATATTAAAAAAAATTCTGCATTTTGAATACCTTTTAATAAACTTTAAAAAGAATACTATGACTTTCGGAAGTACTGTAATTTATTTTTAATAATTAACAAATTAATTATGCTTTGTTTCAGTGCATCGAATATAGCCATTTTTAACTGAATAACTGATAATTTTGATATTTTTTATTAAGCCGATTATATTTGTAATAAAAGATGCTATACAATTTTAATTTGTTTAAGAACAGTTTGAAGTGTAGAACATTGGAAGAACAAATATGTGTGATTAAATTTTGGAATATTTTAGAGTTGATACTTCCTGTTTAATAGATTTCCATATTAAATGAGTCAAATTTTAAATTATATATAATTATAATTTATCTTTTCTGCTTTACATTCATTGCGATGAGTGATTTATTATAACTGGTGCTAAAATCTCTGCGAAATATCTTAAATTCTTTCTCTGTAAGCACAAGGAGATCTGAATTGCGTTTCCAAAATCATATTTTTATGACAAACTTAAAATCTTAGTTTTGCATTTTTAATTCATTTGCATATTGTTATCTGTATTACGGTAACGTTATTTTAAGAACTGTTCGGAACTTTTAAATAATTTCTCGCACATCATATCCTTCTTTTTTGTTTATTAGTATTTATATGGAAGTTTTATATTTCGAATACACGGGATATATGATGCTGCCACTTTGCAAAGTATTTAAAAATAATTTTTTTGTTCCACATCTGATTGTTATTATTCAAAATACATCTTTAAAAAATACTCGACCTCTTTGATCACATTACAGAATAAAGGAGTTAAAAGTTATAATGATCAGAATTTTTGTCTATAATAGATATATGAATAAAAAAATCCACATAATTTTTTTTTTTTTGTCTTTCTGATAGTTTGTATGTACGACCTATTGTTAAATTATAAAAAGAAAGAACTCTTAAATTGCAGAAAACATGTTCTGGTCTTGCCAGCTGGAGGTAAAGGTTCAGTGTTTAGAATCCAATCTGTAAAAAAAAACATAGTATTGAAACGGACTATCTTTCCCCAACATTAGATATTATGATATAGTTAAGAGTAGTAGTAGTAAAAATATAGCTTTTCAGGTAACCGCCCCCCCCCCGGATTCAGATGTGTAACATGCCTGCTCATTAACTGCTTTTATGCCTGCTCTTCTATGGTTTATTCGCGTTTATATAGAAATCTACGAGTATGCAGGTGGTTAAAGGCGCAAATCGTCGATAACATGACGTTTCATGATAGGCTGCTAGTAGCTGAAGAGGCAGACTGCATTACTTATGTGTTTGTGATTACGTATATTACGACATATATTACGATTATTCATATACGACATAAAAATATATGACTTTCTATTAGAAAGTCTTCCACAAAGTCATCTCTGACCTTGCAAATGAAATAATTTTTGTATGACTTTTCATAATTAAAAAATTAAAATTTATTCCATTTGCATAGATAATAAGCAGGTAGGTGGCAGATTTATAGGTTGAGGATAGTGTCTAGATATTTCTTTAAATTAATCTCACCTCCCAACAATCTAGATATTTCTTTAAATTAATCTCAACTTCTTTTTTATTCTGTCTGTTAATATCTGTGCTAAAAATAAACAATTTTACCATGTTTGGAAGAATTTTTCAAATTTGTTATTGGCTTTTTTTTTTTTTTTTTTTTTTTGTGTTAATTGAATATCGTGTTACTCAGGTCATTTGCATATGTGACAGCAAAGTTTTCATGTGTCTGAAATGCTTCGCTGTGCCACACTTATAATACTTAAAACATGTTTATTTTAAAAAACAATAAGATGTTCTGTAATCTCTTTGTACGAAATTTCAATTAAAATTATATTCAAGTGGCATTTAAGCGTAACCGCAGGTAATTAATATGCTCGTAGCATTTTCGTAAAAACCGCAAACTTATTTTGAGCTTTCGGAGAATCATATTTTGTAGTTTTTACGTAGGAAGTTCGTTTATTGACGTCTTTTGAGGTTTGGGTATGATGTTTCTTCTTATATTACTAAATTCTAAACTGTATCGTAATATGGTAAAACCACGAATGGTGTTTCATAAATTATCCCCCGCTTTCCTTTTGGATCATGTTTGATTATGTGTTAACATAAAATAATGATGATTTTCGAATTGTGAGAAGGGATAAATTTCGAAATAATAGACACTGCATTAAATTTTTGTTTTTCATATTTTCCCTAGTAGTATTATTTTTATGTTTGTTTTGTGCACTAAAGTAATGAATAATTTGTAATAATTAGTATTCTGGGCTCTCTGCAGCTGTTAAAATACATTTGCTGGTGAACAACTACTATTTCGTCCCGGGTTTAAATATCGGTGAATGGGCTTCTTCATGCGTGTCTTCGTAGTTTCCTCATGTGTAGCGTAAATATGAACACATTTCTCCTAAATAATCTTCCACAAAGGCATCCTTTTCCCGAGTTAGGTATTTCTTGCACGCTTTTCCATAATTCAAATAATTTGAAATCTATATTTGCAATTTTTATTGGGAGAAAATGAGCTTTCATAAAATGAAAACCAAACTATCAGGTTTCGAGGTTATTAAAGTAATATACTTAAATGCCTTATGGATTTATAAATAAGCATAAAAAATAATCATCTAATATTAAAATTTAATTGCTACTTAACTGCTTTAACTAATGATTTATCGAGATATTTCGACGCGCTATATGTATATGCAGTAACTGAAAGGTTGTTCTTATTACCTACTAGTAATAGTTACGTCTCAAAAATATGTTTTCTAGTTGCATGTTGGGTGCTAGAAGTTTCTAGTAACAAAGGCTTAGAACTTAATTTCAGTTTCTCCTTATCGACCCGAAATGTTCATGAGACGTCCCGCTAACTTTTTCATGCTGATAACTTGATGTTAGTTTTGGTGAATTCCTGTAACAGACATACTAAGGGTTTGACAATTAACTTGTAGAGTCATTAGGTTATTTTCATGTTGAAGACGTAAAAAATGAGCAATGCTCTCGCCGGAACTCGAACCCTTACCTCTCGAATACGCGCAGAGTGTGCTAAGCGTTACACCACGAAGACTTGCTGAAAGAAGGGAGAAACGACCGGGGGATAAGGGACTCAGTCGCGAAATCCTGATGGTGAAGAATTATCATCCACCACCTTTTAGTTTGGGCGCCACCGTAGACATTTATTATGATTTTTAATAGCAGGTGACATGAAAAAATGTGGGAAACCCTCGCCGGGACTCGAACCTGGACCTCTCGAATACGCGCTGATTGTGTTAACGTTACTTCCCGAAGGCATGATGAAAGGAGGGAGGAAATTGTCTTACTTCATAATTCTGTGATCGTTTTCATAGTGACTGAGTCTTCATAAATTCTGAAGTGAGCAATATAATTCAAATAAATTAGAATCCAAGTAGCAGTTTAAAATTAACCTATTAACAAAAACTTCAAAACATAAAAACTTATAAAATTTTCATATCGTTTTATGTTATTAGCATAAACACCGGTACAACTTCCGGATTTTAACTTGAATGGAGTTAATAATGAATGAAGATTAAATTTCCTTTTACGATTGGTTATCACTGAATCTGTCCTAGGGGCCTCAGTGATTCTTCCACTTGAGTTGAGCAACGTGAGCAATTCCCCTGTGGCTCAGTTTCATTTGTGTTCTGAACCACTTCGGAAAAAGTTTTGCTTTTTTTCCCTGATTACTTGATAAGTAACTATTAGTTTTGCTTTTTCCCTATCTAACTTTATTTCTTTTCTCTTCTCCGCCCCCCGCTCCCCAAAATGAATTTTGTCAGTAGGGTAGTTGAAAATTTAATAATTTCGTTTTCCCCCCTTAAAACTGATAGTTCAGCAGCTGTACAGTATCTGAGTTTAAATCATATTTATTGAAAAAAAAAGTTCTGACGCATATGAAAAATTACATTAAAACATGTAGGTGGCAGATTATAGGTTGAGAATAATTGTTTATATAGAGAAGTTTTCAAGATAAATTTGATCTTTTTCACACTGGATACAGGAAAACCGACTACGAAAACACCATGCAGTTTAGCAGAAATACAGTATTTCAGAAGAGAATTATATTTAATATGTAACTGTTAAATGATGTAATCAAATTGATTTGGTTTCATTTATTTAATTATGGCAAACATTCGAAGACTATCAGCTTGTAGGGAGGGATGCCTTAGTGGAGGTCTTTTCTCGGGAAACTGACTCGTATGCTCGTTACACATGGAGTAACCACGAAAATGCCCATGAGCCATCACGTTTTTCATGACTGAACCCCGGACCAATTTACCAGCGTTCAACGACTTTACCGCTCGGTCGCTGTTGGGCCTTTTGAAATCGAATTAGGAAGGATTGCGATACTGCGATATTAGGGCTCTATTGCCTATTCAGTACTTCCCAGAGCAATTACAGAGTTCTATACGGAGCCTTAGAATGAATGGAGCATGAAATGTGTCCCACATAAGAGTTCTCAGATGGTGACAGGAAGGACTGCTAACTCTCATGGTATCACGTGAAAAACTCTTCTGATCATTGTACTTCCAACCTTCATACATAAAAATAGATCACTGAACTTATTATA